TGTTCGCGTCCGAGTATGTTGATAAACTCCATCAGACTTATTCAGGAAGTCTTTCAAGCCAGGAGGCTGATCGTTCTCTGACTCATCGGAACTAGGAACTGATGATCTCCCTCTGCCGATCATGTTAGAAGTGACTCTAAGGTATTCATCCTCAGAAGTCTTCTTCTTGTGTGAACGCCGTCGTTGGTTGGGTAAAGCAACGTTCGTAAATTGGTTGAACACCAGCAGTTGGGCCGCATATGAGCAGCATTGGCATCCCGAGAGGACCGTAGGAATCAGTCGTTCACGTTGGAATGAACGAATGACTTGTTGCATCGGTCTTGCTCTCGATGTGAACTCTCTCGAATCTGTTATAAAGATTCGAGGAGAATTACTCACTGATTGTGAGGTTTGAACTGGAACCCCCAGTCCATGATTGGACAGGACTGGCTCTTGGTGAATATGGATCTGGTTGAGATGCCTTGAATCCATAAACTTCTTATATCCGCCCCTCAACCTAGTCGCGCTACGCAGAGAATTCGGGGGTCTCGCTGCCCGGTCAGCGAGTCGGGGGTCCAGGGGGAGACGCGAAGGTCGCGTTTGGTACGAAGATCGCGTTTGGCGCTTGAAACACAAAGGTCGCGTTTTGGTTTGGTAACGCGAATGTCGCGTTCTTCAGTGTTGACGCGAGGGTCGTATTTTGACTGGGAAACGCGAAGTTGAAGTTCGCGTTCAATGTAGACTTGAGGTCCGCGTTTTGGAAGTAAAACGCGCCATTGAGGGCCGCGTTCAATCTGGTTCTCGCGAAGCTCATGTTTGGGCTCATAAACGCGAAGTTCAGGGTCGCGTTCAGGCTCACGAACGCGAATCTCGCGTTGGTTGGAGGATCGATTTTCTCGAAGTTGTACTTGTCGTCGAGATCTTCTTCTTCGTCGAGCGGCGTTCTTGTTGGCCTGTTTTAAGGTCTCTGCAGCGATGTCGTCGACAGAGTTGGTCGCTGTTATGGGCCTTTCGTGACCCGCGTTTTGGTTTGGCGACATGAGGGTCGCGTTCTTCATTGTCGACGCGAGGGTCGTGTTTTGACTTGGAAACGCGAAGTTGAAGTTCGCGTTCAACGAAGGCTTGAGGTCCGCGTTTTGGCTGTAAAACGCGCCATTGAGGGCCGCGTTCAGTCTGGTTCTCGCGAAGCTCATGTTTGGGCTCATAAACGCGAAGTTCAGGGTCGCGTTTAGGCTCACGAACGCGAAGTTCGCGTTGGTTGGAGGATCGATTTTCTCGAAGTTGTGCTCGTCGCTGAAGAAGGGAATCGGTGAAATAGTTCTCCAATCCCTTAAACGGTTGCTTATCCGCGACCACCGTCTTGACTTCATTATTTGAGTCCACGTACTTGAGGCATTGATGTAGAGTTGACGGGACTATAAGGTTACCGTGGATCCAAGGTCGACCCAACAGTAAGTTATAGGACGTTTCTGCGTCAATCACATAGAAAGTAACTTCTGATTTTAAATCCCCAATCTGGCATTTGATTCGAATCTTCCCCAAGGGTCTGGACCCGCTGGTGTTGAATCCGTAAATCGTAGTGCCGGTGGAGGCTAGTTTGCTAGTCGGGATTCCGAGATGATGCATCAGTCGGAATGGCATGATGCTAACAGCAAAACCCGGATCGAGATGAACATCGGATTGCACCACCACTTCTTCGTCACAGAAGCTAGTCCCCAGCAGAGTCGCCATCTTTTGTATGCAGGGAAAATTGCAAAGAAGAGAATAAAGAAAATTGATTTGTATTCTTTTGATTCTGATTACAATTTGATTACAAAAGAGAGGAGAACGAAATTGGTTCTTCCTCTTTGTTTAAAACTGGTTTCTTCACGGTGGCGATGGAGTGCCTCCCCCGAATGCTTGCGTCGAGTTTGCTCTCCGTTGATGATCCGCACGTCTTGATTCACTGGAACGATGTCTTCTCCTCACGATTTGACGTTGTGGAGAACTTGCGTGGCAAGTTTAAAACTCTTGATGAGTTGATAACTCTGATCGAGTTTTAACTCTTGAAAAGAGTTGATTTGAACCGAAAGTCGGTTATAATTATAAGCCAAGGACAGAGGTTCCCTGTTGCTGAAGTTGAAGATGATCTTCGTTGGAAGATGATGCCGATCTCCTCAAAAGCCTGTCTCCAGTGGTCGATCCAAGCCAAAAAATCCAACCGACTAGCCCCCCGAACTGAATTGATCTTCAGTTATTTATAGAGGATTAAGGGTGTGAAACCGCCCCTTAAACCTCTCCTAAGTGGGGTGTAACCGCCCCCAAATCGTGGGAAACAGTTTTAGAACCGTTCAACTCATGTTGAATGAGTCAAACGCCAACGTTGGCGTTCAGGACCCTAACCTCGCGTCTTTGAATTGAGACGCGAGGTTGGGTGTTGGCTGAACACCAATGAACGCGAGGGTCACTCGCGTTTTGGCTTGTTGTAACGCGGGTTCGACCCTGGCTTTGATGTTGAAACGCGGGGTTCGACCCTGGCGTTTTGATGTTGAGACGCGGGGAGGACCTCCGCGTCTTGCCTTGCAGAGATTATCACCAAGTAATCTCTTTTGTCATGGCGTTGCAAAGATCATTGTCTTGTAATCTTCGTCTTGGCTCCTTGAGAATATGAGAGTCGTCAGATTGTAACTCCCGATGTTGATTGTGAAGGCTGTTGAAGTAGAGCTTCCATCAGTTGTCGTGAAGGTCGTCAGATTGTAACCTTCAGCAATCTACGCGAAAATCTTCATATTACAGCCTTCTGGAAGTCGTCAGATTGTAACTTCCATCATCGGTGGTTGATAGGGGATAAGCTATCTATTGTGATTTTTAGACAGCCTACAAGCATTATTTGACATTTCTCCTGCCACCGAGCTACCATTGATGGTGTTGATGATGACCTGTCTGTTGGTTTATATGGGCTACTTGTCTTGCTAATGCTGGGGACGAGGCAACCTGGATCGAGACCTCCTATCGGACTTCCCTAGAGTGGGTTCTCTCCTATCCTGCTGAGAGATACATCTCTTCAAGAACCCTTTTTGTATTAAATCCTCAATATCTCTCTAGAGGGCTCATCAATCATTAGTATGATGGTCGTGATCTTGATGATGCCGAAAATATTGCCTAGAGTCTAAAGATCGAAGGTCTGACTTCATGCAGGGAGGGGTGGATTTCAAATATCCTTCTTTCTAGACCATATAAAGTGCTTGTATGAGAGAGGTGTTGAGGGCAGTGAGGGTCAACTTCTTGGTGGCTTCTCTCCTCTCATCTCTCCTATCGGCCCTGCTTAGCCTAGAGTTGGTTTTGGGGAGATTCTTCTCCTTCTTCTCCTTCTTCTCCTTAGGAGAGGACTCGCTCCCACAGGGGGTGCTGCTGCTATTGCTTCTACTTCTCTGACCGCCTTCTTATGGGCTCAGGCTTCTTTTGCATCCATCAATCCTCAGGCTCTAGCCATTAACTACTCATAGTTGGTGACCTGATCTACAATAAGCAAGTTGGCCAACTTGTTGTTCTGCAAACCTGTCGAGATTGTGGGCATGACAACCATAATGCTAGGGTCGTCGACTTCCAACCTCTTTGCTTGAAACCTCTTGAAGTAGTCCCTTGGACTTTCCCTAGGAGCTTGTCTCATCTATAGCAGGACGTGGGAGGGCTTCTTTTGCTTAGAATCAGCCATAAGTTATGTATAAACTTTTGGCTGAGCTGCTTAAAGCTATTGATGGACTTCTTGTCCAATGACTTTCACTACATCTTGGCACTTCCTGACAGGGTGATAGGGAAAGCTCTGCAAATGATCAGCTCTGACACTTGCTACACGTTCATCATGTCATGGAAATTTTGTGCATGCTCTACCGGATTTCCCTCGCCTTTGTACTTTTCAATATGTGGCATCTTGAATTTAGTACAGGGAGAATTCATTATCCAATTGGCGAGTGAAGTGTTCCCTCTGATGGTATCAGTGACAATGTTGAACTTCCAGTCATAACCAGATGCTAGATTGGTGGCAGAAGGACCCAGAGCAACATAGAGGTATTTGGGGCTGCGTGAAACCATCCACGCGGTCTGCTCATAGCCATCATGGTTAAAGCTAGGTCTCTCCCCCGTTGTCTCAACATACGGCTGGGCTGTCGAGGTGGAGCAGCAAACTGGGCCTGCTGGCGAGGTGGAGGAGAGTTGTGCTCAGCATAGTCTTCATTCGTTGCTGCTCAGCCTGATCGCAGGAGGGGAAGGAGGAGGAGGAGCAAACGATGAGAGGGCTGTTGAGGTGGAATCCGACTGAGGAGCTCGTTCGTGAAGGAAACGAACCCCTGTTGGAGAGATTAAGAAATCCTCCAAGCCGACTCCTCTAATTGGTCTTGAGTGACATAGCCCAAGCGTCGGTCTTCAGCGGAAAGGTTAGAGGATTAGCTAGGGTGAGCAGAACCAGCCATCTATGCAAAAAAAAAAAGAAGGACCCCATGGTGGGCGCCAAACTTTTGATGTTAGTTATCTAACAGGGGTTTATGTGTAGATTATTAAGGGTGTTAGGGTCCTCAATCTCCTTTAGATAACTGGTTCTTGGACCGAGCAACCTATCTTGCACATGAAGAACACATAAGAGGTTGAAGTTGGGATCTGGTTAGGAAGAATAATCGTCCAAGAATTTTTACTTTCTAGGATTCCGACTAGAACTTGGACTTTTTTTAATATTCAAATACTAGATTTTTGGATTAAAATTTGGATTCTTGGGTTAACATCTTTCATGTAGTTCCTCCACATCTGATTTAATACGGGTCTTCTTAGATGTTTTGTTGTAACTATGGAACTTTTGCATATATTTCTGCTTGTGTTGTTTGTGTGTATAAGTGCACAGATGGTTCTATTGTGCATGAATGTTTGTTTTGTGTTATGCTTTTCTTTCAATTCTTATGTGTTCTTTTATTTGGGTTTCTAAATAATGTATACATTTTCCTGGTTTTGTGACACACATTCGGTCTCTATTTTTATGACTATTTTAGGTTGCATGGGTTACAAATTCAGGTCAGAGTGAACTGGAGATTCCTATTGCAATTCGTCCCACAAGTGAGACTGTTATGTATCCATACTATTCTAAGTGGATTAGAAGTCACAGGGACTTATCTTTGAAGCTTAACCAATGGGGCAATGTCGTGCGTTGGGAATTCAGCAATCCTGCTCCTTTCATTAGGTATTTATATTATAATCCTTCTGCACGTGCTTGGGAATTCAGCTGCAAGCTTTTATAATCCTAAATTTCGTATAAGAAAGGCTTAAGAAGTTCAGGGCTTCCTGTTGAACAGGAAATAAACTTAAATGAGGGTTGTTAAGACAATTAAATACACACGCACATGTAGTTTACCATGAGATAATGTTCTTCTAGTCTTGTTATTCTATTTATCTCAACTGCTCTAAACTACTTTATGTATGATGTGCAAGACATTATGCATCTTTCATTTGATATCTGATATTCCTGCTATATATATTAGCAGTTTATTTTTATCATGATTGAAAAGAAAATTGAATGGATCAATCACCTGTTAAATATGTGATTTTTATCATGGGATACTAATTTATAATGGGAGTAATGCCACAAAAGAAGTATTTCCCCATTGCATGGTGTCCAAACGGGGTGAAAGTAGACATATTTAGTACTAATTTAAATTGCTCTGATCTTGTTACTGAATTCAAATATATAAAAAGATGACATGATCAATTGACTTCTCGTTAGCCGGACGCAAAGGACAGACATATTAGGCACCTCCAAAACATCAACTTCATTCTCTTGATCGAAAATGCTCACATCTCAAATGCATATCTCATGTTTTTCAAACCATTTCAAGACATTATTACCTGGTACCGTACATTCTGTCTTTGCATTAGTCTAAATTGGAAATTCCTCTGTAGGCTATACGCATAGGAATACGTTGGTTTTGGAAACACCATCAATGGTTTACGAAGATCTAAAAGCTATTTTCTATTTGGTACTAGAAAAGTATATGCTTTTCTATTTCCTTTGTAAAAGAATTTGCAGATGGTGAATAAAACTGACATTTTGACCAAGCTTAACATATATATCAATTTAATCATTCTCACTCCCTAGTAAAGAATGGATATGCGCAATTGGATACTTCTGTCCAGTTAGCCTCAACACATCCTTTCAAACGAAATATCACCAAGGTGAATCTTTAATCGATTATATGCTAATAAATATTGTTGTGCTTCATCTCAAAACATTTGTATCTCAAGCTCATGAAATATACAACAAAATTAACTCCGTACAAGGAATACGCCTTGATGAAGCCTGACAATTTGTGTTCTCTTCAGGCCCCATATTTTGTTAACCCCTGTCCTCATTAAGCCCCAAATTTATGTCAACTCTAGTCCTAATCAAACCTCATTACCTTCCCTAAAAAAACTTTTATTTAGATTCTTTTCCGGGAAAATACATTAGAATTTTATAGTAATTGTTCGCAGGTGATAGACCACGGCATATCGGAACAAATGATCAGTGCTGTGATGGAAGTTGCAAAAGAATTCTTCGACATGCCTAAGGAAGACAAGGCCGTATGCTATTCACTTATTCAGAGGATTTCAAAAAAGTCCCCAGACTTTACACGAGCCATGGCTGCAGCAATCACGAAAGACAATTAAGGAGGGACTGCTTGCGACTTGTTTACTATGGACCTGGCGATGAATTCATGCACCTCTATCCCCAAAAGCCCACCACATTCGGATACTCGACTCAACAAAGTTTTCATGCAGCTGGGGCTACAGCTAAGTGGGTTTCTATATTGTCAGGGATATCATTGTCAAATTCGTAGCAGAGGTAGAAGGGTCAGGGATATCATTGTCAAATTCGTAGCAGAGGTAGAAGGATCGGCCACCAGGATCCTAAAATTAATAACCCAGGAATTTGGACTAGGTGAAGATTACCTTAGCAGATGTCTTTTATATTTAGTACTAATTTAAATGAAGTATTTTCCCTTGTAGACATATATAATGGGCGTAATGCCACAAATGAAGTATTTTCCCATTGCATGGTGTCCAAACGGGGTGAAAGATGACATATATTGGTCATCCAATGCTAATTATTGCTTCTTTTGTGAGCTTGAAAAATTTCACTTGTATATTTCATATTTAGTACCAATTTAAATGTATGTAGGAGTCAAGAGTTTCTTTGGCAAGAAGGGCATACGGCTTTTGCAACAAAAGAAGAAGCAGATCAGGAGGTAATTACATTGTCCTTCCTTTATTATTCTTTGCCATAATGGTTTCTCAATCAGGATCAGAATTTTAGTTTATTTTATGAATCATGACAAGCCTGATGCCAGTAGCTTACCCTTCTCAATCAGGATCAGAATTTTAGTTTATTTTATGAATCATGACAAGCCTGATGCCAGTAGCTTACCCTTTCTCTATTACCATGGTTTTTACTCATATGGCATGTTATTCCTATCTATCTTGCATAATAAGGGTCATACTTTCCGTTTTCTTTTGTGTTTCACCATTAAAGATGTCGATTTTAAATATAGAAGATTAAGCAGGAGACTGTCATTTGTTGTATCTGTAGAGGTCATCATACAAAAGAGGCATAATTATTTTCTCGGCTGAACATTTTTTTCTGTTTGAAGGATATGAAATATGAGCAGGAGCAACAACAACAAATGGTGTCTGACTTAGAGTCACAAGTGAAAGCTATACAAGAACTTTTTTTTAGGCAGCCATCTTCATTGACTCCTCAAACTCGAGAACATGTGCAGGACTAGGTAATTATTTTTTTATAAAATCAGCCATCTTCATTGACTCCTCAAACTCGAGAACATGTGCAGGACTAGGTAATTATTTTTTTATAAAATCTCTTATATATTTTTATGATTGACTACTTGCACTTGAGAAAATAAGATTTTTACTTAATAAGATAATAACTGCTTAATTGATATTTTTTAATTATGTGATTTTTTTTAATTTTCCAGGCTATCCATGCAATATTAGGAGAGGGGGGTAGCTCGAGTCTTCTTTTGACGATGATTAGAGATGAAACGATGTGTCTTTCCCAGACTTCTATTTTAATTTGTTTTAGATAGTATCACGTATTTTCCTTTAGAACAATTGGGATATTAACACTTGTTATTAGTGTTGAATATTTGAGGATGGTGGAATTTTATTTATTGATGTTATTAATGAATGGAGTTTTGATTTCTTTTTTATTCATTATTGGGTATTTTTAATATATCTGTGTTGTGAATCTTAGTTTCATGTTGAGAATAATATGATAGTTGTCTATGAATGGAAAAACTATCATTAATATAAATTAGAAATTTGTAGTCTATAATGACGGTTTTATAAATCACGTTTTGTTCATCAACGAAGGGAAAACACCATCGTTGATAGGTTATTAATTACCCACCACGAGGACTTTTACGACGGTATCTAACCATCATTAATTGGTCTTCAACGACGGGGTTGTCACCCGTTGTTACATAATAATAACGGGCGTACAAAACCATCATTACACAATAACAACGGGAATGAAAACCCGTCATTTAAAGTAACAACGGGAAAATATCCCCGTAACTAATGGTAACGACGGTAAAATATTTCCGTCGCTGATGGTAACGACGGGAAAATAACCCCGTCACTAATGGTAACGACGGTGATAATTACCGTCGTAAATATTAACGACGGTAATATGTTCCGTCGTTATAGACTCTATAACGACGGGTAGTATATCCCTTCGTGACCCTTTAGCGAAGAGGGCTTCAACGACGGGTGACGAAGGGATTTTTTCCTGTCGTTAGCATACAATAACGACGGTTTTCAGCTCTTTAACGAAGGGAAATCCTTTCGTTAAAGACGTAATTTCTTGTAGTGCTAGTAGTTCCTCTAACGATCAAGTCAGTTGAGAGTTCATCCTCTTTATCGGTGTCGGTTATAGATGGGGATGAGTCACCCAAGCGTTAAATATGAAGGTAATAGAATGTGCATAGCGCTGGCGATATCTGATGAGTCATAAAGACTTTTAGGACTAGAGAAATAATGACTTTGATTATTCAGTAATATGATGGCAATCAACTGTTGGTGTGGGGCCTAAGGACACATTGCCCTCTGGCTCGGCCTCACGATAGGGGTGACAAGTGATGTCTCTCGTCTCGATTCTGCGAGTGAGTCGACAAGTAACACATTCCGAACATGTTTCAGGTCAAAGGAATTTATCTTCATGCTCAAAATGCGTGTCAAAGAGTTTTGTTCAATTTAGTTTTTAGCTTTAAGGAAAGTTTTTTATTTTAGGAGGTCTAATTGTTTTAAGAAAGATTATTTTAGTACTTTTACTTTGTTTAACACCCTATATAAGGGGAAAGAATTTGTGAACTCTCTAGATTGATTATTATTAATTTTAAAAGTTTTCTATTCCTAGGGTTTCTAGGGTTTGTGCTGTTTTGCTCGTATGAGGATGAGTAGTTATCTCTTTTAATTACGTTTCCGCTATATTAATATCATATTCAAGTCGTATCTGATCTTTTTACAATCGTAATAGTTAGACAAGCACAAAAAACCTATATGGTATCCTCCATAAGGCGTAAAACTTAGGCAAAGTGAATTGAGATTTTGTCCATCAAAATTTTATCTCTTAGATTGGCTTTGAGTTGTGTTTTAAAGATAGCGAGTTGCTGTACATCACATATTACTATACATCTCAAAGCAAATTCAAGAGAGAGAATGACCAGTGGGTATCTCAATCTAATTAAGTTCACATGAAACGTCCACTTAAGTCTTATAGGAAAAAAAATGCTGGTTATGTCCACTTAGCATAGAGATCTCAGATTTTGACAACTCGCAACTAAAGCAGTTAAGGCCTTAATCAGAATAGTTCTCCTAATTAGAATAGTTATCTTAAGAGAGAGAATAATCCTAACCTAGTTAGGTGCCAATATTTAAACTACTAAAATCAAGTAAAATCATGGCTCAATTTTACCGAACAGCATTTAGATCTATAAGACTATAACCATATTGATTCACTAACCTGGTTAGCGGAGGGTTGTCAAACGCCCACCCCCTATTACGATTAGGGTTAGGTTAGGGGCTGTTTGGTTGTTGTTGGTAAAGTTATGTATTTATGACATAACTTGGAAAATTGTTGTCCACCTCATCATCACTGAGCAACTTTTCTTTGTTTGTTTTTGATTCCATTGGAATCATAAATTACTTGTTTGGTTTACAAAATGTAACTTGCTTGTTTGGAAAGTGTAAAGTGGTTATTGTGTGCTCCCTACTCAAATGATTCTATTGGTCTAGCCCCCTCACTTCTGACACATATGTCAGCTTTCCTTCAAAATCAGACCATTTTGAAGGGATTTGTGAATCCATGCCACATCAACATAGTAAATCACTTTACACTATTTTCACAACTACAAACAACCAATTGAAAAGGAGAAAAACTGACATTAGGACCCACTTTTTTACACTTTCCATCCTTTTACATAGTAAAAACTTACAACCAAACAGCCCCTTAGGACCAGAGTTCATTGGAAAAGTATCAGAGTCAGACAAATTGAAGAATGGGGACCACTTAATAGTTTCTCTATATAATGGGACCACTAGCGGGCTATATAATTTGAAGTTATTGATTGATTGCTGGCTGCGCAAGTTGTGTTTCATTAATGAATGGTTAAAGTCATGGTAGTTTTGATACTAATGAGGTGCTTGATTGGGTATTATGTGATACTAATTTGATTCTTTTTGGCTTTTAAGCTTTTGAAAGGTCAAATGCAAGCAAATCATATCGAATGATCACTAAAATAGGATCAATCTAAATACGTCTTCTCTCTACTTTCCTTTTTCTTTTGTCTTTTTGCTCTTTATTAATGTTGGGTTGTGGATTAGAGGCTAATCACTTTGTTTTCCTAATCCAAAGCTCACGAGGCTCCTATATTTTTTATGGATAGATTTAGGGGCTGTTTGTTTCACCCATTTTATAGAAAAGGATTAGTATTTGGATCTAACAGCGGTAAAATCATAATTAAAGGATTCCAAATAAATCCTAATCTGGAGTTTGGTTCTATTTTTTTTACAGATTTCCAAATCTATAAAGTACCCTAAATAGTAATTTTTTAGGGATTCCCAAATCCTCTCCTTTTGATCGGATTTGGGTGATATTTCTGACATCCCCATCCCTTTCACCTCTTTGGGGTTTTCTGATTCCGCCGCCTTCGAAAACCCTAGATCCGTGGTTGGAGCGTTGTTCTTCTCCCCCCGCCTCATCTCACTCCTCTTCGCGCCTCTTCTCTTGCGGGCCTTCGATTTCTTTTTCGAACTCGTGGCTGGCGGAATCAGCTTCTCACTCTTCTCATCGTCGACGCTCCTCTGTTGGTGGGTTTCGGACGGTTTGTTGGTGATCCCTTCTCGAACTTCTAGTTTTTGGTCGGTTTGTTGGTGATCCCTTCTTTAACTTCTCATCATTGACGCTCCTCTGTTGGTGGGTTTCGGTCGGTTTGTTGGTGATCCCTTCTCGAACATCTGGTTTTCGGTCGGTTTGTTGGCCTCGTGGTGTCCGTCGGTGGGTTTGTTGCTTGGATTTTAGTGGGTTTGTTGCTTGGATTTTAGTAATTCCCCCCTCTGCACCTGAAGGTATAAATTCTTCCCCCAATTTTAAGATTTATTTTTTCATGTTTGATATGAATCGTTAACAACAGGGTTTTTGATAATTTATTTTTTCACGCTGGGTAATATAATGTGCTGTTTTTTATAATTCGTTACGTGTATAATCTCTTAAGAACATGGTTGATCTATTAGTTGATTATTGAATTTCAATTCCCTGGAGTAATTGAGGAGTACGACCTTCAAATGAAACCCTTGGATTGAATTATTAATCTTATTTGTTTGATCGGTGTGTAGACTTAAATGCGACATTAGTTAAAATAAATTTCTGTGTAATTAGATATCTTGTTTCAAGAAATTAATATTTGTATTAAATATTTAATTAATTTAAAACTTCAATAAGTAGACATATTAAGTTGTAAATGTATGCTAATTTTGTAACGGATGTAGATGGATATGGTAGATGAAGAAAAATTGAAGAGGATGTGTGCTAATACAACTATTTCCGCCGTGTTCACGTTAGTAACTTGTATTTTGAGAATGCGTGCTAAGCGTAAGACAATTTCAACGTATACGTAGGAAGGAAAGATTAAGAAAATATATTGAAGAGAAACTCACTTCAGATATGTATTGGAAGGCTATAGTGATAGCTGTCGATCTTACATTAGAATGACACCGAGGGCCTTTTATAAACTTGCTGAAGTAATGAAAGCAAACGGTTTATTGAAGGATACAAAACACGTTCAAGTTGAAGAACAGCTGGCTATGTTTCTAAGTATTATGAGTCATAAAACTAAAAATAGAATAATAAGGACTGAGTTCATAAGATGGGGAGAAACAATTAGTAGGTATTTTAATAAAGTCCTACAAGCAATGAATGGGTTACATGATCGCTATATGAAGCAAGCTCCAAATAAAGTTCCCATGGAGATTGCAAACAACTCAAATTATTTTCCTTACTTTAAGGTAAATTAAATACATATATCTTAACTTCTCTTATAAAAAAATAACCTTTTATTGAATTTTGTATAATTTATAATTTTTTATAGGACTGCATTGGTTTGATAG